ATTTTAATAGAAATTCTAAAATATAATTAAGATATTAATTAAGTTATAACATAATGTTTAATTATTATCTTTATAAAAAAATTATATTGTTAAACCAAAAATAAATTACTTTGTTAATAAATCTAAATTAAATTATAATAAAAAATTGAATTAAAAAAGTTACACTAAAAAAATGAGAACTATTAGATAATTAAATTGATACTAATATATATATTTTTTAATTTTTATGCTATCTTCAATTTTATATTTCATTCAAAAATAAAAAATTACCGCTTTCTCAAAACCATATAAAATCGTATTATATCGATAGAGACAAATAATAAAAATTAAACATTAAAATCAAGATTTATCTCGTTGCATTTCGTGAGTACTTTTCTAGTTAATAATGAAAAATAATCAAATTTTAATTTTAAAAAGAACCCATAATTTATGAAGTAAAACAACATTTTCAACAGATTTCTATAATTTATTTAAAATAGAAAATTAAAAATCAAAATTTACATAAAAGGATTACATTTAATTTTAACGGATTTTCTATTCCAAAATTTCAGCTATCTATATGTTATTTAAATTTATCGTCCAACTATGTTCTTTTAAACAATTTATATCTATATTATATTATAAAATCATTTGAGTTAAACTTTTGAAAATCATTTTTAATGTATCAAATATTGTTTAATAATACATTATTTATTTGTAATATTAAATAATAAATCACATGCATTAATTAATAATGCATCATTTATTTCTAATATTAAATATAAAATCATATGCATTATGAAACAACTAGAACGGTATTCCCGCAATGCAGAGAGATATATCTCGATTCCAACTAATGCATAAATTACTGTTTATTAATGCATATTACTTAAAACTCAAAATTACAAGTAAATTGTGCATAGGTACAATTTATAAAAGCTCCATATCTGAATTCGTGTAACTAACTGCAGATAAACACAATCAAATACAGGATAAACATCTCATTTTAAATATAAAAAATCTAAATCTATACTATCTTATAAA